CTAGTTACTGAGTTTCAAGCAGCTGCACCCTTAGCTGTCTGGTACGCCAGCTCCTTATGCAGAAATGGCACTAAGTCATATTTCACTTCAGAGGAAGCCACACTGAAGACAAACCCTCAGGCATTATGGTAAATGCTTTAACCAGTTGGTCGGTCATTAACCTCAGACTGGCCACCCAAACAGCAGTCTCTGGAAAGGCCGTACGGTATTTAAGTTTATTCTAAACCATAGGGATCAACTATTCAGGCTAGCAATTACTGCCTCACTGGACAGCTCACACTGCTGCTGTCCAAGCAGCACTAATTTTGTGGCACAAAGGATTTGTTCAATCTCTGAGACTTCCACCCCTCACACAGAGATTAACTTGTCCTTCCTATTTGGAGTTGGCTGGTTTGTTCTTCTTTTACCATATTCATGCAAACAAAGAAACCAAATCTGACTTTTAAGAGAACTTCATTTATACTCAAACCTCCCTATGAAGCAGCAGTGTGGCTACATCACTCACAGGAGATCAATGCTACTTTCTACTCACAGTGAGGCCATAACGGGGGATGCTGAAGTACTTCAGCCAGTTCAACCAGCCCATTATAGAAGGGAGGTTTACTAAGAGGCCTGAAAATATCTGAAATAGAACAGAAGAGACAAATGAATCACAAACTCTGTTTACTGCAAATAATGCCATTCCTGCACAGATATTGCAGTTGCCCAGCAGAGGTGCACTGGGATGGATGGACGCCTACTGCTGTTATGCCTGTGCCTACAGGCTTGAGCTTCAAACCTTGCAGTGGTCCCAGCCAGCTGGCCCAACAGCACACCCAAGTTCTCCAGCTGAACTGCTTGCAAAGAGGTCAGAATAGTTTTGTACATCCACATGTAAGCTATGAAGTGTACATGCTAACAATTTCTTAATCAGGAGGACCATGTCCTACAGTAGAGCTAGCCAGAGCATAAAGGAGGATGACTGGGAGATAAGGAAATGGAGAAACAAGAAGAAAACCATGGGGACCCTTAAGGACTGTTACTGTTTCAGCTTTCTCCTCTGACCTACACCTTTTATCTGTGCTCTCTCCTGCCTGGAATAATGTTTGTTCTTTTACTTCTTAGCACAATTGGGCTTCACAGCTAAACATGGCGCTTCAGGCTGTGCTTCATCAGAAGTGTTTTTGTGCTCACCCTGCTGTCACCTGAATGTGCACGTGCCATTCTTATACGCTGTGACTGAACTCAATGTACATCAGCTGCCCTTCACTACACATGCACACTTCCCACCCACAGAAAGCATTTGAAGCAATAAGCTATCACTTAGCTTATTGCAAAAGCAGGTTAAGTTGCAAATTGAAGAATATGGGATGTGCTGTGAGTTCAGAATATGTATGCAGACAGCTACCAGGAATCACCCGAGAAGAGGTACTTTTTACTCTAAGGTAACCTGATAGGCTTCACAGTCAAGAAGTTTCATCACGAACATTATCTCTTTGAAAAAGAATTCACATCATCTACGAGCAGTCAAAATTCCTTTGTCTCACTTGCGCTCTTCCTTAGAAGTCCCTGAAGAAGTCTACTGAGGTAATTTCTGGAACCCAAGGGCAATACTGAATTAAAATAGAGGGCATGCTCCTGCTAATCCCACTGGGCAACAAAAATTAATGCAATAAAGTCAATTGATCTAAAATTTATTTCAAGATTTTTTTCCTTTTAAATGATCTAGTTGATCACTTATGATTTCTAATAGTAGAAATGCAAGAATTTTAAAAAATCAATTTTTGTAAGGACAATTTAAAAAAAAAAAGGAAAGCTTTTTTTTTGTGGCACACTGTTTGCAAAGCTCTGGTGGCATCACACCTACTGAATTGCACCCGAGCAATGATTTGACCCTTAGATTACAAGTTGGCAGAAGTACATCTTTGACTACGGTGACAATAAAATCACAGGCACAGGGCTGACATGCTACTGGATCATGGATTCTCAGCCTGCTTAGGGCTAGCTCAACCCAGTCCTCTCAGCCTGTCTCAGCTGCTTCCTCACCTTCACCAAAGCAGCACACACACCCCCTTATATACTTACAAGCATCAGGACAAAACAGATAGTGATGAGCAGATTTGCCACAGCCACCACATCCATCCCAGCACTGATAGCCAGAGACATGGCCGTGGCAGTGTAGGACACCAGTACCAGGGTCAGCATGAAGAAGAAGAACCTGCCTGCAACAGCTTGGTATCCTGTCAAGAAACAGGAAAGGAAAGAGTCCAGTAAACAATCACATTATGAATCCCAGAGACCGACCCTTGGACTCCTATGAAAGACAGGGAAAGCAGGAAGAAAGACCAGGTTTGGAGCTGGCAGGAGCTATGCATGCTCCAAAGGCCCAAACAGCATTACCAAAAGATGCAGTCAAGCAGGTCCCTGTCTTAGATTGCTGGTGTCTCTGCCCCTGCCCCAGAGTCCTTTGAAATTATGATGCCAAGCACTTAAATCAGTTGAAGGTTCAACTAGTTTCATGTTATAGATATAGGAATTAAACTCTGGATAAATCAGAAATCAAATGTGTTGGAAGATGACAGGTTCAACAGAAGCATCAATTCTTTACCAATCATCCAGTAACTGATGCATGAGAATATGATGACTGGAGCAGTTCTCATGGGCAGCAGATCTCCTATCATCAAGGCCAGGAAGTAGGCAGACACACGGTAATATCCACTGGTGTACTGATGGCTGCGAGGACAGGAAGGAGGGGAGTTGTACAGGTTTAGAGGTTATCTGGGAAGCAGGCTCAGCATGTGTGCCTGGTTTATCCTGATTCAGTTTCTGTTCTCTCTACCACTGACTCTTTCTCTATATGCAAGTTGCTTATTTTCTCTGTGCTATCACTTCCCACTCTGTAAGATAACGGCTGATCAACCTCACAGGCCCTGCGGTCATACTGAGAGCCCTCCAAGGAAAGTGAATGAAAGGCTATGTGACTGCTAAATAACATTGGGGAAAAAGCTCCTAAATCTCTTTTCAAAGAGAACGATCCTTAACACAAAAGCATGGGAAAGTACTAGACTGCTATTAACTGGAGGAACACTTCATCCACAGCTAACTCGTACAGCTACTTCCAGGGGAGAGGAATGATACCGAACAATGGGAAAACACCCTTAGGACATCAACACACCTCCAGTTCACAGGGCACTTAAATGTCATTATGATTGGTTTACTGCTTAATGAAGCTCATGAAAAGATGCTTTAATTGGTAAGGTGCCAAAATCCCAAAACTAAGCTGGTAAGCAGGGCAGACTGGCAAGAGATGTCAGGGTGGAGGAGATTCACTCCTGAGACACTGTTAGGGGCAATATTAAGCTGCTCTGAGCAACCTGTGGGTTGATATGTGCATTCCAAGCACACGTCTCCAACTTCTTTACTGCATAGGATATGTCTCTTGCCCTTTCATCCCATGAGCTGGAAGCTATTCCAAACTCCATTATCAACATATATGTCTATATAATATATATATGCATTCACATACATATACACACATACAAACACACACACACACATGTATATACATAGAGAGATGCACTTTATTATTAGGGAGCTCTTGTACACCAGCCAGCAGCCCTCTTCATCTAAGCATCCCTTGCAAAGCTTTTCCTAGAACTCACTTCATCTTTACGCAGTCTTACCACTTCAGGACCATTGCAAGACAGAGTTTCAACTCTGTCAGCAAGAGGGCAGGCAGGGTTCACAATCTGCAGGATTCACATGCAGATTTCAAAAACAGCTGTTACCAAAAGTGGGTAGGAAAAGCACTTCTCAATGAACTGTGACACAGCAAGCAAATAAAAATATTTTATTTCTCCCTTCCTTCCCCCACATCTTAGCATTCCAGCTCCCTGCTCTACGGACCAATTTAGCATTACTATTACAATCTCATGTTGCAAGGAAGCAATCAAGTCTTCAGTGGAAATCATTCTGTTTAGCCTGTAAGGTACTCCCCCCACCTCACTCCAGGGTATGAGACAGTCCAAATGCCTCACTACTTACACAAATAATTTCTTGTCTCTGATGAACAGCTCAACTGCAGAGACACTGGAAAAACACTGGTTTGTGGTGACAAAAAACAAGGATCCAACCCTAGAAGGTGAAATAGAACCATCAAAAAGTGAGGAAACAGCTTGGATCAACACTGGCAGCCTGAAACATCAGACCACCAAGTCAGTGCTTTTCTGTTTCTGTCCACAGAATGGAGATATTTAATTGTGCTACTGTAGATCTTAGCTGTAAAACCAGGTTTATTCTTTCATCTTCCCTTTCACATCTCCTTTGTACATATGTGCGAGCCCGACAGAACAGCGTTCCCTTTAAGACCTCTGGCAATACCATGCTGCAACTACATTGAGGCTTGTGAACCTAAGCCTCCTTTGTGGTCCCAGTGGATCCCAAGGCCTTCCCTGTGGCTGAAATCTGTCTTCTACAGATAGAAAAATGAGCAAAGCTGTGGCTTTCCAACTTACCGATTCTGAATGCCACTTCGATCCAATTTTACACCGAAAAAGATAGCGCCCACAACCAAGGCTAGAATTACTGTAACTGCAATCTAGAAGTGGAAAAAAGAAAGGGAAAAGGGAGTGCTTCAGATAAGTAAATAGTGACAAACTTATTACTAAGGCATATGCAGGGTTTAAGATTCACACCTGCATAAAACTTTGCTGTTGTGAGTCAATGTATGCCTATGGCACCCACAATGAAAAGGCTTATGGCAGATATCCCAAGTTTATGCTCTTCACTTTTCTCCTTCCTCTGATATTTTTTGGCTGGGAAAGATTAGTAGAAGCATACTCAAAGAATAACCCAGCTTAAAATTTCAAGTGAGGCACAAAATTGATGACACCCTAGAAACTCCCCATCTGAACCAGTGAATGGAATTTCCCCTTGCTCCCCAATCTTCAGTACTCCCCAATCAGCAGTACTCCTTGTGCTAAACTAAGAGATTTTTTTTTCAAAGGCAACAAAGGCAGCTGGGCATCTGACTTCATTTAAGTGGCAGTGGCACAGGACTTTCCTGTTTCCCTAGCTGCCTTTGAAACCAAAAGTCTGTCCTACAAACTGCAGATTGCAGGACGGAGCAGAGGGAGTCTGAGACTTTCAGCAATTGTTACCTACTTGTGCAACGGAGGCCTGTGGGTTCCTGATGAGGTTTTTCAGGGAACGCTTGGACACCCAGTACAGCTGGGTGAGGAATCCATTTGCATAGGTAATCTCATGCCCCTGCTTGGATACTCTCTGCTTGCTTCCCTGTCCAAGCTCCACTTTCCCCAGTGCTTCCTTTGTGCTCTGATACAGGCTGGAGTTGAGATATTTCTGGTGCAGCACATCTATGACACTGCTGTCCACATTATCTTCTGCCACTCCATTTTCACTACTCACCTCTGAGTGAGAAAGACAAGATATGGCTTGTGATTCCCCATGAACCCTACCTTCAGACATGGCCCATCAACATGCTCAGCCACTTTGGAGGCTGAATAAAAAAAA